GATTGTTAGGATGTTTAAACTTGGATTAAGGCTGTTGTGGTGGTTGAGTGACCAGCAATCTCAACACTTAGGAGGCTTCAGAAAGAGGACCATGAGACCAACATCAACCTGGGGTGCCTAGCAAGTTCTAGGCCAAGCTGAGCTAATCTAGGCCAGCCTTGGCTGCACAACAAGATCCTGCCACAAGAAACAAAACAGATTGGCTAGAGGCTGGGTCTGATCTGTTTTGACAGTGGAAAGTTCCAGAATATGTATAATCTCATGCCTACATCAAGATCCCTGGGGCTCATTATGAAAGCACATAATCAACAATGAGGATTTCAGTGCTGTATATGAAATACCAAGGATATGGACAAAACTTTAGCCCCCAGTACAAGGTAGGCGTATAATAAAACACTGCCAACTGCAGAAAGAAAAAATACTTAATCGCTACCTACTGACTACTTTTGTTCATTTTTTAAAAATGTAATATTCTACTGAAAAAAAAAGAAACACTATAGGCGACCAGCTCTTAGGTTTCTGCTCCCTCCCACACAGTGCTCTGACACTGTGACTCACGCCACTCACACACAAGTACCTGAGGACCAAAAAGAAATGGCAGCTGTTCAAAAGGCTGGGAGCCACTTCAACAATAGCCCTACAGGCAGCCAGCTTCTTTAAGCACAAATGGAGCTAAAGCACTGTTAGTCTCAGTTGTTACCCGAGAACTGCATTCTTCTAAAATTCAGTTTGATTTGGAGACGTATTTGGGAAAAGCTAAGACAAATCTTTCTCTGAACTGGCAAGAAAAGGGGGAAAGGAAGGGACACCAGGAATAAAGAATGGCAAGAATACCCATCTGAAATCTGAGCACGTAACCTGTCATTATAAATTTCAAATGTATATATCCCAAGACTTAGCAATATGACTTTCAGATCTATGGACCAAAATAAACGTCTTTCTCAGTTATGCAGTCTCAGGCATTCTGTTACAGCAACAGAAGATGGATTAAGTCAGGAAGCTGACTTCTGCTTACCTCTTCTAAAGACTTACAAGTTATTTGACATTTTAGCATACAGTCCAACATTGGTGTACATTTTCATCAAATAGCACTACACTTGGCACTTGCCTTATAGCTACTTTGTTAAATTTCAAACCTAAATGTAGAACTAGGAACATCCAATGATCCTCCGTTTATTAACTAGAAACACTTTCGTGTGTTTAAAGAGGTGACGAAGGAAATTCTCAGTAACATGAGGATAAACACTGGCTTATTGAAGTTCAGGGAAAGTTCACTGTCCTTAGGTACTGGGAATAATGGCATCAATCAACCTTTAAGGGTGCAGAGGATAAAAAAAATAATAGCTCAAGGGGGCTCAGAGGCATGCATAGCTCAAGGTTTGAGGGTCGCCATTATTGTTTATAGAAACCACATTAACTAGGTAAAAAAGTGACAGACTCATGTGATCTGAAGAGAAGCCTGAGTATTCACACTTATTAATAACAATAATGTGTGTTAATGTGTGTGTGTCTCTCTCTGTGTTCAATGAAACTTTTTTTTTTTTTTTTTAATAATAAGCAGTTAGGCCAGATTTGGCCATGAACTACATCTGTCAATCCCTAGAAACATTTAGACTTCCCAAGGCTGACTCTGGCTCACATGCATTGCTTTTGAGAAGTAAATGAGTTGGTATTAATCACTTACATGAATGGTCCTGCTTTATTATAGCTAAGTCTATACACAGTGTTTATTGTCAGAGGTCTTCATGTCTTTATTGTGATATCAAAATCTAAAAGGGCTCTAAAATGCTTTATTTTATTAGCCACTTAGCACCAAAAATCTCACCCAGATTATGCATTCCTCTGGAGGAGATGGTGCATTCTACTGCAGATCTCACTGGAGAGCTACAGGCTAACATATGGTGTTATGCTGCACATCAGCTCTCTGAAGTTATAAAACGCCGATTTCCGAAAAACCTCTGATGTAAAGGACTTCATATAAGGGGCCTGAGATCAATGTTATCACCTCTGGAAATTATTGCAGGAGAGTTTTAAGGGGCTCAACTAAGGTTACTTCAGCTTGGCACAAAACTGAGCCCTGGTAAGCTGACACTAGAAAATTGGCCTTCAGTAAATCAAGTCAATGGCCTCTAATTCACATTTTCTCCAGTTTCCTCTTTTTCAATCTTATACTAGGAAAGGTGAGCTTTCCTCACTCTTTTGCCATCTGCTAACTTCTCAGGAATCTTGTGGGCCAGTCCCTCACTATCTGTCTTTATCTATCTCTAACCAGTTATAATTACTAAACATCTTTCTGTCAGCCTCGGGTACATATAAATATTCCCCAGACATCCAACCTCTCTTTCAGCAGCTAGTTGCTTCATTCTTGAAAATTACCTATCCCATGACATCCATTATTCATTCTTCAATCCATGACAGTATGGCTCCCACGCCCATCACTACAGTGGAAGTGCTCATCTGGTCGCCAGCATCCGTGGACCTTTTCATCATTCACTATTCCTTGCCCCTTGATACTTCTGACTCTAGGCAGACCCTTTAACTCTACACACTCCTAGATGCTCACATTTACTCCTGGAATATCAATTATTTATAGGCTGATAGTTCCCAAATCTATACCTGCAGCCCATCCCTCTTTCTTGAACATTACATACTATCTACCAAACATTGCCTTTTCAATATCCTTTAAGTGGCTAAACTCAGCCTAAAACCCGATTTATTTTGCTCCCAATCCTGCACATTTACTCCTTCTTAATCTCCATTCTGTGAAATAGTACCAACAACCTCTTGGTGGTTAGAAAGCCTCGAATGAGCCAATGCCTCCTTTTTTTTAACCAAACAAACAAACAAACAAACTAATCAGACCCCCTTGAGCTGGAGTTGCAGACAGTTGTGAGCTTCCTGACATGGCTGTTGGGAATTGAACTCAAGTCCTTTGAAGAGCTGTAGGTGCTCTTAGTATCTCAGCTATTTTTTCTAGCCCCCTCCTTCACCTTTAACAAAATTTAAGGGTTGGAGAGAGTTTTAACATTTTTTTTTATGGGTCATTAAGTCCTGTCAATTCAAATTCCCAAATTTATTAACTCTGCCTCTATGACTGCCTCTATTTCTGGCTTCCTAGTACACTTTCTATTGCTATGATAAATACCATAGCCAAAAGCAATTTGGAGAGGAAAGGTTTTATTTTGGTTTACATGTGATAGTCTATCATTGAGGGAAGCCAAGGCAAGAACTCAAAGTAGGAAATGGAAGCAGAAGCCAACAGAGGAACACTTCTTTGTGGCTTCCTCCCTGCGGCTTATTCAGCCATCTTTCTTATCTAGCCCAGGTCTCCCTGCTCAGGGACAGGACCACTCACAGTGGCCAGGGCCCTCCAACATGATTAACAACTTAAAAACTGCCTCATAGACATTGGCCACAGCCCAATCTAACCTGGCCACTTTCTCAACTGAGGGTCTTTCTTCCTAGGTGACTCTGGCTTCCATCAAGTTGACAGCTGAAATTAACTCTGACATAAAGCACAGTCATTTCTAGCTTAGATTACCACAGCAAATTCTTTACATGGTTCTGTCTCCTGTTTGGGCCTTGGCTAATCCACTTTCAGTTGTGCAACTAGACAAATGTGATCACGTAACTCCCTTCTTTTTTTAAATTGTGTTTGAACTTTATTGCTTTATTTACATTGTAATCTTTTAAAACATCTACGTGGCGCATATCAAGAACTGTTCATTTATCTGTTATTTCCATAAATGGGAGAGCTCTGAGAGGGCCTGACTGTGGCAGCTGCTGTGGGTCCCTGCTGCTGCTCCCCCTGCTGCTGCTGCTGGTCCCTCCTGCCGCATTTACTATTACTGGATTGCTAGTTTGATGGATTGCTGGACAGTCTGATGAAGGCTGGACTTAGCCCTAGGAACCCAATGGCCCTAATCATCAGAAAGTAGTCTAAAGAGGTCTCCTTTCTCCTCTAACCTTTTTTTTCCTTTTGCTGACCTAGTGTCGGAGGTTTGGGGGGGGGGGTTGGGGTGGAGAAGGGTGGTAGATATAAAAGCCCAATAAAATAGCCAAAAAAAAAAAAAATACGCCTACACTCTTCCCACAACCTCTCTTCTCTCCCAGATCCATTCCTCTTCTTTCCCTTCAGAAAAGCAGGCCTCCCAGGGATATCAACCAGTCATGGCATAAAAAGATACAATAAAAGTAGACACATACCCTCATTTCAAGGCTGGATGAGGCAACTGGTAGGATCTTTCCCTTCTTAAAATTATCCTTTAAAATAAAGCCCGTACCCACTCCCAGATCTTTATGTCTTAGGATACTGTTTCTCAAGGCTGCTTTATATTCTAGCCAAACACCTAGGGATGTGCCCTCAGAGCAATGAACCAATTAGAGCTTTAAACACCAAGAAATTTAAACCTTAGTGGCTGGAGGCTGGGAAAGTCACATAAAACAAAACAAAACAAAACAAAACAAACAAACACCCCCCAAGAATCCAATAAATGTTTAAAAAAGAAAAACAAAACCAAAACCACCAATGGGGTATGTGCTATGTCAGGGCATTGAAGTGACATTTCATTTATTTGCTCAGTTAGCCATTCATTTCTCAGTGCTGGGGAACAGACCCAGTCGATTTGAATGCTGAGCAAGAGCTTTTCCTCTAAGCTGCATGTACAGCTCAAGCTACAGGTTAATTATGAGCGTAGTTCCGCATCTACACTCAGCCAAAACTTCCCTTGAAAAGCTTTCTGTTTTACTTTCCATACTTTGATGAGATGTGATTAAAATTTGATGAAAATCTTTCTCTAAAATAATGGCTTATAGATTTGTTTAATTAAAACAAAAAACAAAAATACAACTCAAGAGCCAATATAGAAAAGATCTGTTAGGACAACTGAGAAAACGCACAGCTTAATGGGAAGAGGCAGAACAACTGCCAAAGGACCATTCTGAACAGCAAAGCTGAAGGACAGGGAAAGTGGAAGAGAAAAAATGTGAATAGCACTTACCCTTAGTTCTTCTTTTGTATTGAAACTATTCAGAAGTTGCTGATAATGTCTATCTGTCATTTGTCGTAATAGGGAAAGGAGACAGGCAACAAATTCCCCCTAGGGGAAAAAAAAACACATTTTAAAGGAAGGGCATAAAAAAAAAAACCCATCACTAACAGTATGAAAGCTTGCAGTGGTCTCAAAGAGAAGACTTTACAAAGTTGCAATGGTTTCAAATTTAACCTGTGGTGTCTTTTTTTTTTTTTTTTTTTTTTTAATTAAAGACAGAGTTTCTCTGCATAGCCTTTGTTGTCTTGGACTCGATTTTTAGAGCAGGCTAGCCTTGAATGCACAGAGATCCGCCTGCCTCTGCCTCCCTGCATGCTGGGACCACAGGGGTGTGCCACCACACCTGGCTGTCTTCGTAATCTCTGCTATGTTCACATTCCTTTTCTGAATTCACAAGATCCCCTTCAACTCATCAGCACACTGGTCTTTTGACTCTCCAGGCAAAAACAAAGCCATGTAATGCACAATGTTGGTTTCACTCTCCCTCTAGGAAACGGTTTTTACTTAACAGCCACACTTTGTGTTTGAACTCTATGTACCTGACTCCTATGACATCCACATGAAATGAAAAAGCCATCCTTAGATTGGGAGTGCTATAAATTGCTAAAACTTGAATTTTCTAATACACTTCTAACTTGAAACTACTGTTTTTAATGCAACCGTTTTTACCTTACCTTCTTCTAAACAGAGAAATTGTATAAAGCGATGCAAGCACAACAGGAGAGGCAGCTGCTGGCTAACAGGGCACACAGAAGCTCACTGTAATTGAGACACTGGTTTGCACGTACATGGAAGACTACAGTATCATAGGAAGACTGGATACTGAAAGACCCGAAAAGCAGATTCTGCAGCCCAGGCAGCAGGGCTAGCTCCTCAAATGTCTTTCTGCCAGTTTTCACAAGAGCCTCTAGAACACCACTTAATGGTTATGTCAGAGAAGTCTGAGAGTCATGGTGTCTCTACGTGTCACAGTTCTGCTCTCTGTTTCCTAACTTGGCATGATGTGGGTGGCCACTGGGGCAAGCTCCCACTGCCATGAAGACCCAGCCACCCTGCCACTCCTTCCCTCTGAAATCCTGAACCCAAACAAGTCTTTCCTCCTACAGACTGTTTGTTAGGTATTCTGTGACAATGACATGAAATAAGTGATTCTGCAAAAGCTGCAGAATGGCCGGCTATCATGACTGCTACAGATACCAGTAAAGCCTCAAGCCATGCAGCTTCCACAGGCAGCAGGAGCAGCGGTGGCCGCACCAGCAAAGGGCTGGCAGGAACTCCCTCCTGGGCAGCCATTGCTGCGATAGTGGCTACAGCAGTGACAGACAGCTGAGAAGTCACAATTGCAGCCAAGGGGGGCACAAGAGTAGTAAAGTTGAGACAGAGAGAGACAGAGTGGAAAGCAGAGGCTGGAGAACAGAAGGCCTAGGAAGAGAACTGCTAGCCAAGGCTACTGACAAGGTTCCAGAGAGCTGTCAAGTCTTTATGGCAGATGGGCTTAGGCAGGCTGAGCCCAGACACTCTAACCCTGCATACACACGAGGGTTAAGGCATCCTGACTCCCCAGACATAAGGAGGCAATCTAGAGAGCGAGGAGTCCTGCTCCCTGGGACTCGCATGAGAACTGGGACACTTGAGGGTATCTCCTGCTGCTGCTCCCAACTGAGTGTCGGAGCCACTCTCCCTCAGACGCTGAGGATCAAATGCTGCCCAGGGCCAGCGTTTGTAGAGCTTCTCCTTGCTGAGCATGGTTTCTATCTACACAGAGCAAGACGATCTCAGCCAGCTGACCAAGAACAGGGGACGGAGACGGTACACTAACTGACTTTTGAGTGATGGACATGTTCACTATCTTATTTATTGTGATGGACCTTAGGTAAACAATATATCAAGTTGTATTTAAAAAAATATAGCATTTATCCTATTTCAAATATATTGTAGTCCACATCAACAAAAACTTTGCAAAAGGCATTGCTAACACAATGATTTATGGTAAGACATGTATAAGTTACTAGACTTTGCACTGTCAAGTTCATTCTTCATTAGTCTCGTGTTGGATGGACACTGTCAAACAGACAATCTGGTTTCACAGCCAGCAAATGGCAAAGCTTGCGTGAATGTCATGACTTTAGTTCTAGAAGCCTGTACTCAGTGGCTTTCTTTTCTGCTTTCAGATTGATTTTATGTAAGCAACACACTTGGATTGAAGGGGCAGGGTTAATGGTTCATATATAAATACATAAGAACCTATCTAATGATAATACTGTTAATGTATTATGTCTAGTCTTAAAAGGCAAATTAGCTGGTAGAAGTTCAATCAGTTTTTCTCCTTGGCTTCTCATATAGTATACAAAATATTCTAACTCATTTGCCACATTATTAATATACTTAAGTACTTATTCCAATACATCCTATAAGTATTAAAATACTTGCAAGTTTGAAAAACTATACATTATAGATCATAATTTTAGGAACAAGGATAAAGAGCAAAAAACATTCAATAGCTTATTATAATTGATGTACATAGATGAACTCTGAATTCAAGCCATTAATGATATCTGTTGTGTCTGGGCTAGACTCACTGAAAATAACTTATCATTATGGCATATAATTTCTGGCACATTTATTATATACTATTATTCTCAACACTTAGAATTCACTATCATTTGCCCACAAAATCTATTTTGGAATTTCAAGTCCTTGTCCAGAAAATTAGATGTCTTATATTTTACTTCTATCTTTTTCTACTACAATATGATTTTCTTTACTTTTAAGATCCTTTAATAATATTTACATGATTTGTCATAATTTGTTTAAAAATAATAGTTTAAAAAATCATTGGCCAAGATTCACTTACTTGACAAATTGCCTTTAAGATTCAATAGTCTTCAGCAGCTTGTAATCATTTTGTGTACAGAATACAATGTGTATTTCTATCAATAACTGTCAAGAATATTTTATGTCTACATCAGAAGACTTCAGAAAAGTTCCATTAAACATATGCCTGTGTTTTGTTGTTGCTTTGTTTTGCTTTCTGTTCAGGTATTTCCTAGATAATGCTACCCTTCTGAAGACTTAAGACAGGCGTGCTAGAGAATCTTAACCAGGGCCAGTGTTGAGCTGAGTCACCTACTACACATGCTTAACACAGTCATGTGCAAAGAAACATTTACACAGTGTAGAAAACTCTGGTAGACAATTAGTTGAGGGTGTGAGACAAATGGCCATTTATGTTGCTTTATAAAATATGCTATGTACAGATGTTTTTAAAAAAGCCAATTAAACTTTGAAAACTAATTGTAGAACAAGAAAAGGAACATTTTTTTTTTAAATAGTAAAAATACTACTACTACTAGCTGGTGGCACATACCTTAAATCCTAGCACTGGGGAGGCAGAGGCAGAGGCAGAGGCAGGTAAATATCTGAGTTCAAGGCTAGTCTGGTCTACAGAGTGAGTTCCTGGACAGCCATGGCTACACAGAGAAACCCTGTCTCAGAAAAAAAAAAAATCAGACAAAACAGAACAAAAAACCACTACCATTGTCTGGAATTGTGATCCTGGAAGCAGTCCTCATGCTGGGGTTTCTAGGGGGCAGGACACCAGCGTGGCTGTCAGAGCTCTGGAAAATGCCGTCCTGCCCTGCTTGCTGAAACTGATTTCTTTCCAGAGTGCTCATTTAGCAAGGGCACTGAGTGGGGCATGTGTCTGTGAGACCTGTGAGGTGTGCACTGTAGAAATGCCATGTGGAAACTCCCCGCTCATACAGCTTATTCTTTACGGAAAATGAGGAGGTGTTGCCTCCATCGTCATGTTCAGAGACAGCCTGCTTTGTGAATGATCAAGGCAACTCTCACAACAGAGTTATGGTATAGCCATGTGACTTTGTAGCAATGGGAATGTTAGTGTAAACTGCTACTGAAACAAAAACTAAGGCTAGAGTTTACTAACGGGGGCACTGCTTACATGCTCTTACAAGTTTAACCAAATCCTCATGTTAGCTCTGTGATAAGAATAAGTACTTTCTGTTTTAAAGACAAAGACACACTTAGAAAATTAGTCCCTTTATGAACTTCCTGCAGTTAGTAAAATAGAAAAGAAAGACTCAAACAAGGTCTCCCTTAATATGCTAAAAGTATGTCTGAAGGCTTAAAACCAAGGTTGCCAAGAAACTTGGATGTATTTCATAAAAAATTTCATCCCACTAACTTCAAGAATTTTGTTCTTCACACAACAGAGATAACACTCACTAATTTGGAGGCAGATTCTCTTAATCTGATTATCTGTCTGTCTATCTATCTATCTACCTACCTTTCTATCATCTATCTAAATATCTATCTAATCTCTCATCTATCTAAATATCTATCTAATCTCTCATCTATCTAAATATCTATCTATCATCTATCTAAATATCCATCTATCTAATCAATCTATCATCTATCTAATCCATCTATCATCTGTCTAAATATCTATCTATCTATTTACCTACTTATCTATCATTTATCTAAATATCTATCTAATTTATTATCTATCTCTATCATCTATCTAAATATCCATCTTTCTAATCAATCTATTATTTATCCAAATATCTATCTAATCTATCTATCATCTGTCTAACTATCTTTCTAACTCTCTCTCTCTCCCTCTCTCTCTCTCTCTTTCTCTCTGTATCCATCTATCATCTATCTGTCACGCATGCCTTGTTATTCATGGTGAAGCCAGAGGACAATTTGTGGGGAATGGTTTTGTCTTTCACAATGTGGGTCTTGTGGATCAAACTCCGGTCCTTAGAGATCATGGACAGGGTTGACCATTTCAGGTCCAGCCAGAGTAACACAGAGACTTCCACCCTCAGATGTCAAGGAGGCCAGAGGCCTTCCACTGTATCTTCACATACGTTGTGACCTGCCTTCTTTCTCCCTAGCTGAGTGGTATCACATAAATCTAGCCAAAACAAAAGCCTTCCATAAAACCCACAACCACATAATACAGAAACATTTAGATTTCAAAAGAAAATCATTCAAGAATCAAGGTTTCAAATCAAATGAAATAAGACTAATGACAGATGTCAACATCAAGAGCAGAGGGCCCTGGAATGATGTGGCACATAAAAACCAAGGCAAAAACGGTTCATGGATCTAAGTGTTAGTTACACAATTGTAGTTCTCTGAGGAAAATTATGAGTAGATAAAAGGGTGCTCAAACAAAATCAAACCATGGTTCACCAAAGGACAATTTAATAATCTGGATATCATTAGGATGAGAAATCTTTGCTTTTGTAGTCTCTGCTGGGAGTTAGAAAACAAGCTACACCTCGGCAGGGAGAGAGCCATTCGGCTGGAAAACAGTGCAAGACATGAAGAGGCTTCTCTTAGGTGGTGATGTGGATGGCAAGAGTGTAAGCAGGGTAACGCCACACGTCAGGAAGGAGGAAATTAAACCCTCAGTGAGAGGGGGCTGCACAGCTCTCAGAATACACCCAGACACTCACACAGGCACACAGGAACGTGACACCACATGCTGACAAGGGTGTTGAGAGATTACATCATACTGTGTACAGGTAGGAATGTAAAGTGACTTTGCCACTGGGGAAACAAGTTTGGCTGTTCCTTAGGAAACTGAGCATGTAGCTACCCTGTGATTTGGTGGCCAAATCCCTGGAAATTTCTAGTGAAAACTGGAGAATCATGTCCATGTAAAATCTAAATAAATGTACATGTTTATACTAGCTTTCTCAACACTACACAAACGCTGTAAAAAAAAAACCCCAGATCATACTGTGGTATATCTGCACCGTGGAATAATGCTCAGCAGTGAAGAGGGAAACAGGGTATACACAGCCACTTGGATGAATCTTCACAGAACTATGCTGTTGTTTTTTTTAAGCCAATTTTAAAAAGTCACCTGTGCTAAGTAAGATTCTATACATATAACTTAACCATGGAGCCATCTTTCTAGTTCTGGGATTTCTTTCTTTTCTTTCTTTCTTTCTTTCTTTCTTTCTTTCTTTCTTTTTCTCTTTCTTTCTTTCTTTCTTTCTTTCTTTCTTTCTTTCTTTCTTTCTTTCTTTCTTTCTTTTCTTTCTTTCCTTCCTCCCTCCCTCCCTCCTTCCTTCCTTCCTTCCTTCTTTTTCAAAATTATATATGTATTTATATAAATTATATGTATATAAATATATAATTTAAAATCTTAGTTTATTAAGACAATTTAACTTGTAGCAGCGATTTGGATGAAAAATGTCTCCCATGGGCTCATGTATTTTAATATTAGTCCCCAGATGTTGGCGCTGTCTGGGGGCGCTATGAACCTTTTCAGAAGTGGAAGCTGAGAGGAAGAGGTGTATCACTGAGGGCAGGCGTTCAGAGTTTATAGCCTCATCTTCTATTTTTTTTTTCTCACATAGGAAACAAAGAGAAGCCATAATATTTACACAAAGGACCTGTAATGTTAGAAAGAATGCCCTAACAATATTAGAAGACAAAGAACCTCCAAAGCTACCATTGAATTTGTTTTGTGTTGCCCATTTACAGCTGGGCATGGGGCCTGCCCTTAAGAGTGCTGTGTTTCCCCACTGAGGCTCCCTTGAAGAAAACTAATTTTTCATTTGCAAGTGTTCATCAGATGGAGACAGCTTCCAGGTAGGAATGGAGGGCGTCTGTCCACTTACCCTCTTAGCTCTAGTGCCCTTCTGGTGCAGACCCATGCAGGCCCTGTGCATGCTGCCCCAGTCTCTGTGAGTTGCTGTGTGTGTCAGTTCCGTTGGGTCTAAAAGCTTTTGATACCTTAGTGTCCTTCATCATCTCTGGCTCTTACACTCATTCTGTCTCCTCTTCCACAAAGTTCCCTAAGGATCCCAGACTTCTTAATTTTTAAATAAAAATGAAAATTATTTGTGTCTAGACTTTAACATTCTCAAAGCACCACAGCAAAATCTGTGAAGCTGACAGCAAGTGCTTAATTAATGCTTGTGTATATAGTTTACAATATTAGAGGGCCTATGGCCACAGCTACACATGATAGCTCTTGCTTAGAAGAGTACTGTTTAATAAACCTTTTAAAATTCATATCATGTGATTTTTTAAAACAGACCTTCTATGTGTACTGATAACTTGATGGTAAAGCACTTGCCATAAATAAGCAGAGCATATATGTGTATACACATGCATACTGTAAAGATGCATATTCTATACTCTGCCAGAATCACGTTATGTTAGCATCCTAAGACAGTCAAGCTTAAAAGTGCCTTGGAATTTGCCAAGTCAAATCTTCTGATTTACCACTATCAAACTGAAGAGTGAGAAGGTCAAGGTCCTGATAAGTCAGGGTGAAAAATCCAGGATTTGCACATAGGGCCTCTGATTCCAGTTGCTCTTCCCCAGTGCCTTGTTCTTTAGACAAGCTGGAGAATTAAACATTACCAAGTTGACAGTGAATATGAAACCCATAGATTAACTTAAATGTAGAAGAACAATGATACCAAAGTCACACTTCTGAAGTTCATACTTGCTTGTGATAGCATTTGCCTCCAGGCTCCCTAGCTTAGTTTTCCTATAGTAAAAGCAACCTCCTGTGCTCCAGCTCATTGTGGGGACCACGTTTCCTCACGGGCACACTGCAGTTTATTGCCAAGGGAAATGTAGCTATAAGAAGACAACCAGGCCCCTGCGTGAGCCTCGTGCTTATGGTCTTACGGTGACATCCTGGAACTGCAACCGCATGGCAGAGCTGGATGCTTGAGGCCGACTGGTGATCTCCAGTATGGTCCTGAGCAGGATATCCAGCAAGCTGGCCACGATCACGTCTATTTCCTCCAGCACAGACTTTTCCTTAGGAAAAAGCAAAATTGTGCTCAGGAGACTAGCGCTGCATGCACGGAATCTATCCTTAAACCCAGAATCAAAGAGGGGAGCTCAAGACAATGAGAGATGTAGACCTCAACTGAAAAGAATGGGCTCGTGGAGAAACAGAGCTTCAGAGAGTCCATGTCTCGCTCCAAAGCACACCATTTGGCCACGAAATGTAAGGCTGAGATACAAACAAAAAAGGTACAGCGATGTTGTGCAAAACACCAATTCTGTGGCCAGCCCTGCTCTAAGGAACCCATGGCCTTGGGCAACTCAGAGAGCTGCTCTGGGCTGTAGTCTTCTCTCACAGATGACCTCCTTAAGGCCTCACTGTGCTTACACTGAGTCTTCCCAGAATGGCAGTCTCACAGATCATTTTCCAAGGCTGACTTTCGTGCAAATGACTGTTTCCCCAGAAGCGGGTTTCTAAAAAGCCTCCAGGTAACATAAGGAATGGGAGAGCCATCTAGATGAGTATCCTTGGTCCCTGAGGGCCCTGGTCAGTAACCACAGGAGCGGTTTTCTCTCCTGAAATGGCTGAAACTCTCCACATTCCAGGACTCCAGAGGGAGTATCTGCACTGCATTGCAAAGAAGACATGGGTTCTTAACATAATTGCATGGGGGGAAAACTTCTGTGCACAATGGCTCCCTGCAAAGATACTTTCAGAAAGTATACTTTGAAGAAACCTATTGGATATAGGATATTATGTATACATTTACATACATACATATTCATACATATACATAAACATATATATAGATAAATATTTTTAATGATAAACTTTATGACTTGTAAGAAAACTCCCAAAGTTTCCCCCAGTGACCTTGTTTCTGTTCTAAATTTTTCATGAGTTAAGTCCTGATTTAGCTAAAACCTGACTGCAATTTCAAAATTTAAATAGGGGAAAAAGACAAAGAAATCATCTCTAGTCGCTGTTTGCTTTCTGCCTGTCTTGTGACCTGGCTAGCTCTCACTCGTGGTGGCTGTAACCTGACAGAACCTTCCAGTCAGGCCCAGCCTGTCCCTTTGTGGTCAAATGGTCAAAGAGGGATTTTCAAGGGAGGGCCAGTGCCTTCTCCCTGCCCTCACTGCTCCAGCTCATTCCTCTTTCCACTGGGCTTGGACTGCAGGGTGAGAGCAAACTGTCCCCCTGCCACATATGCCCTGCTCATCACGCTCTCAGATGCAGAATGCACAGCTTCCCTAAAATGTCACCCATTTCCACACCAGCAGGGCGCTCTCTCCACCACCTCCTGGCCATTCCCACGCCTGCTCTTCAGAAGCGGATCATAAACACAAAAAGAAGGGGGAACACTGTTCGAACTTTCCTGCAGAGCTGGCAAGCCCCAGGCTTAGCATTCAATTTCAAATTCTCTGTGACTGGTACCGATGAGCCCAGTGTTTAATCGCTGTGGACTGACATGAAGAGAACAGACTTCCTTCCTGTTCAGATTTCCTGTCAGACTCCAGAGCTGAGAGCAGCAATCTCAGACATTGTTCCATTTATTTATTCATTTTTTATTTTTTAATTTTTATTAATTACAATTTATTCACTTTGTATCCCAGCTGTAGCCCCTTCCCCTACTCCCTCCCAATCCCACCCTCTCTCCCTCTTCTCCCATGCCCTTCTCCCAGTCCGATGATTTGGGAGGTCCTCTTCCCCTTCCATCTGACCTTAGTCTATCAGGCCTCATCAGGATTGGCTTCCTTGTCTTCCTCTGAGGACTGGTAAGGCTGCTCCCCCCTTAGGCAGAGGTGATAAAAGAGCCAGCCCATGCCCATGGCAGCTCAGTGTCCAAGAGGGTTCCCCAATAATAGGAACACTGTTCCATTTATAAGGAAGCACACCATTGTTCTCACTCTGTGTGTGCTGTACTAACACACAATAATTACACTGTGTCAAGAGTCAGACAAAACAGAAATCCTCAGCGCCATAACAGACTACCGTTGGGCTGTGTGAATGTTCTACTGCAAGGTACTCCTAGTTTCCTGAGGGCTGTCCTTTCATTCTGTAATCTCCATGGGACCAGGCCCAAGGGCCATGGCCAAGTTCTGAGCCTTATCATGTGGCCTTTCCCAGAGCAGGCCCAAACCACCATACTCTGCATGCAGTAATTTACTTTTGCCACAGAGCGCGTTCATCTCATCAAGATTAAAGACACATGTGGGAGGCTTTGAGATTTCTAATTTTTCTCACTTGGTATTCAGTTCTTCCTGGAAACACAACTTTAGGAAGCCAGGTTATTCAAGGTTACACTAATCCCACAGTTTTGTTTTGTTTTGTTTTTGCTTTTTAATTCCTTCTGAGGAAACTCAAGAAGTCCAGCCTGGCTGAAAATGAGGCACGCCTCTGAGTGCTTCTCCTTGGAGCGACTCCCCTGAAGACATTTAAGATGTTATTTGCAGAAGCCGTTCAATGAGAACCTCACACTCTGACCCGCATGTACTTACCGAGCTGTTTTTCTTGATGAGGCAGAAGACGTTGCTAAGGATACGTGCGCACATGATCAGGTCCTTCTGTTCTTGCAAGTGAATGTGGAGGTGATGCAGCACGACAGGCAGGAGAATGTACCGCGAGTCTGCGAGAGAGAGCAGCAGTGTCCCACCAGCCTCGGCTGAGCCCTTGATGTCGTAATTCCAGTGTGACTGTTAGACTACTAGCACACGCTGTTATAGCGGCGGTGCTGCTATGAGCTTTATACTGAAAAAGAAGCACTTTGTCCCAATGCACCATTCCTACAGTCAGGAGGCCTCTGCTTCCTATCGCTCCCCCACCTGAGGGTGTTTCACCTCCACATTTCTAAGTCAAATGCTTCTCTTGCTGTTCCCCGCAATCCTCCAAAGCAGACCATCTACAGTGTCTACGGTAGAAGGGGACATAGCTTCTTACCTCTTGCCCTGCTCCCCGGTTTCTCGAGAGTTACAGCATAGCTTCTGGTTAATATTAGAAGTATGCTTTCTTTCTAGCATTGTGATTGCTAGTCCCCGCTACAAGACCCTATTTTTGCTTTGTTGTTCTCTTTCAGCATTCAGAGTTGCTGAGGAATTATTGTTATCCTTAGAATTTGTGTATTTAATACTAAGTACCTTGCCTTGGCCCTTTGAACCTGTAAAACAGTGGTTCTCAATCTGTGAGTTCCAACTCCTTTGGGGGTTAAAAGACCCTTTCACAGGGGTTGCCTAAGACCATCAGAAAACATAAATATTTACAATTATGAGTCTTAACAGTATTAAAATTACAGTTATAAAGTAGCAGCAAAAATAATTTTATGGCTGTGGGTCAGGTCATACCATTAGGAAGGTTGAGAACTACTACTGTAAAATGTCCTTTACTTGGGGAAGCTATCTTGATTTTCTTCCAGCTGAGACTTCAAATATATTCTAAAAGTGTGTGGTAATTTGAAGAGAAATAGCTCCCATAGACTCCTGTGTTTGAATTCTTGGGCATAGGGAATGGCACTATTAGGAGGTGTGGCTTTATTGGAGAATGTATGTCACTGTGGAGGTGGGCTTTAAGGTCATATATGCTCAAGCTACACCCAGTGCGGCACACAGTCCCTTCTACTGCCTGCAGATTAAGATGTTAGCGCTGTCAGCTCCTTCTCCAGCACCATGTCTGCCTGGTCACTGCCAGGCTTCCCACCATGATGAAAATGGATGAAACCTCTAAAACTGTAAGCTAGCCCCAGTTAAATGCTTTCCTTTATAAGAGTTACCTTGGCCGTGGTGTCTCCTCACAGCAGTGAGACCCTAGATAGAGAGCATGACTCTCTCAATTTTGTCTTCCCTATCTTCCCATGTTGTACGGCATTTTTCTGGTGACTTCCATACTTTATCTCCTATGCTTTCTACTTAATTTCTTAGTTATGTTCTCTCACAGCTCATTTCTTTGCTCAGGTCCAGTGTCACAGGCTTGGACTCTCTGCATCTCACTGAGACAGCACACATAAATTAGGGGCTTGAGCGATGCTCTCTGCATTATCTTTTTCTTTCAAATTATTTCTTTCTGTGCTCTCATTATGGCCTCTGACTTTCCCATCAAAAAGTTCCCCCAGTAGTTGGTGGGTTTTCACCATCCATTCATCTTTTTAAGCAAAGAAGAAAGAGAAAAAAACAGACAAACCAACTCATGCAACCCAGGAGTTAGGCTTAGAGTCTCATATTTCTTTTGATGCCAGCCACAGCACCACCAGTATAAGGATGTCTGGCCTTAGAAAAAAAGAGAGAGAAAGAAATAGAGAAAGAGAGAGAAAGAGAAAGAAAGAAAGAGTTAGAAAGAGAGAGAGAAAGAAAAATAGAAAGAGAAAGAAGGAAAGAAAGAAAAGAGAGAAAGAGGAAGAGAGAGAAAGAGAGAGAAAGAAAAAGAGAGAGAAAGAAAAAGAGACAAATAAAGAGAGAAAGAAAGAAAGAGAGAAAGAAAGGAGAAAAGAAAGAGAAAGAGAAAGAAAGAGAAAGAGAAAAAAGAAAGGAAAGAGAGAGAAAAGAAAGAGAGAAAGAGAAAGAAAGAGTATACAGAATACTAAAATTTGAACCTGTACACTCACTCAAAGCAGGCCTTCTGTAAGCAGTACACCCCAACAGGAACTTTACTCATTCACAAAGTAATGACTTTACAAAAAGAACCAGGGAAAGGAGCCTGGAACCTGAAGAACAGAAGTACTATGTCGAAATGTTTAATTAGAAGGAAAGGCAACGTTCATGTGATCAGTGCCAGCAGCTAGTGAACTTTAATTTCTAAAAAGTCAATTTGCAGCCCCCTGTTAAAATATCTATGGGCTGGGGCTGAAGCAAGGGAGATAAATAGTTCACCTGTATTGTATAAAAACAGAAACATATAACTATCTAGAAAATAATTACTTTTCTCCAGTGTTAGGATGAAACCAGCCAGCACAAAAGAGAGGATTAGAAGGTCAAGGCTGGACAGCCTGAGAGCTAGCATTCAGATTCTTACCTTCATACAAGAAACCCCTGTCCCAACAGGCCAGGCACAATCATGAATGTAAAAGTTAAAACCAAGCCCAGCTTCCCTGCAGGTGAAGACAAACTGTGTATATATTTAAAGCTAGTACCTGTCATCTAGAGTCTGCCCTTGAAAAAGACATTGCTGTCACACTCCAAGCCTCCAACAAAACTGACAAACAGAGGTCTCCATTGCTGTAAAAAGGAGGCCCCCCCCCTTTTTTTAATGATAAACCTAGCTGTTAGGAGTTCCCCATGGCATAGTCTAAGAAGATGGTGTGCAACTAAGAACCCTTGTAGCTTTCCTCTTTCAGCTTAAAAATGGTGCGTCTTTGCTCTCTCTGTCTACGAGCTTCAGGTAAGGACCCTCGGTGTTAGAATCTGTCCACAAAGAGTGAGGTCCATCAGCCTCAAATGCTAATCACTCCCTACAAGCTGGACCCCAACAAGGACAGGACATCTGCAGGGCACCAAGGCTGCTTCTTCAAATGGGAGACTGTGAGTGAGCGGGCAGGACTACTCTCTATGAAAACATGGTACTTAGCAAAGCTTCTATCTGTGGAGAATCTCCGGGGCTGGGAGTACCCAAAACTGGATCAAAGCCACTAGAAACTGCGTCACAGACGTGTAAACCTAGTTACACATCTTTTAGATGTTGGGACACAGACAGCACACAAGTAGAGTAGAAAGCACCTCAGATTTAGACAGTATCAGGATTTCAAAGGAAAACAATAGTGCAGTGTTGAGGAAGCTCTCTGTATGAAGCTTGCACATCACACACAGTGGCCTGAACACCACTGAGGATGTGACACAGATGCCATATGCTTGCCAATCATGCACCCTACTGGCCCCAAACTCCTATCCTCTAAGAGACTAACAAGATGAATGGTTCCCTAGACTTTCCTTCTAATACGTTTTCATTCACAAATATACCTCAGACCTACCTGCATAGCCCTTGGGTTCACAATGAGTGAGTTTGAATGCCATGGTCCCTTGCAACTCTCTCTAGGTTTCCCTAACAATACTGTGGAGAACCATGTGAATTATAAAAGGCCTTTCAGTCTTGCAAGACTGCCAGGGCCACTTCCTGTTTTTCTCTGTGAAGACAGGCTTCTTCTGGATATGCTGTACCCTATCACTCATGTATGACAGTCTTTGTTTTCTTCAGTGATGAGTCAGTGAATGTCAAGCGAAGCAGCCCTGGCGAAGTGAGAGAAGCTGGTTCAACTATGTTGACTGTGAGCAGCTTCTGCTTCTCCATCCTCCTCCTCCAAGGAGAGTGGTCCCCATGGCGAGGTTGCACAGGGTTCCTACCTCTTCCACCTCCTCCCTGCCCTGTGGTATCAACTTCCTAATCCTGACCCTGAGCCACTCCTCCAGCAAACCTTCACAGAGTTACCTGTGCAAACATCTTCACCAACTCACACAAAGACCTGATAAGCTCAACTTCTGGATTGTGCTGACCTCTCTTAAAAAGCTGTCTGATCTTGCTCTTTCTATTTTGTTTCCTGAAGGCTGGGAATCTAAAGGAACTGGGTCTGTGAAATAAATAAAATCCTCTCAAATAATTTCCTTACCATTGGAAACCCGATTTTGATGTTCTTAGCTAAACGTTTAGGGTAGGACTTTAATGAAGAATCATCTGTTCATGACAGGGAAAATACGGCAAAAATCACAAGTAAGTCCTATGAAACAAGAATCAGCCTTCCTTAGTCTGGGGAAAGCAGCATTGGTGCCTGAGTTAACTAGGGATGTGGTCGACCCCTGTCCATTTTATACCTCCGCTCCCAACCCTAGACAAGTCCCCGACCACCAAAACACAACCCTTCAGTTCCAAGAAACAGAGTTTGGAAGCTACCTGCAAAAAAATATCATTTCTTTAGTGGTTCTCAACCTTTCTAATACCACAACCCTTTCATACAGTTCCTCATGTGTGGTGACTCCCAACCATAAAATCATTTTCACTTCTACTTCATAGCTGTCATTTTGCTACTGCTGTGAATCGTAATGTAAATATCTGTTTTCTGATGGTCTTAGGCAACCCCTGTGATAGTCATTTAACCTCCAAAGGGGTCACAACACATAGATTGAGAACCACTACTTTTGAGTGATATGATTTTTTTTCTTTTAATCAGGAGAAATCAAAAGACTAAACTTTCTTTTACATTGGTTGAGGACTTACTGATTTCAGCAAGAGGAAAAAAGACGTTAGAAATAAGTCCCCCTCCACAGGAGAATGGAATGAGTGATGATGTAGTAAATTAGAAAACTTACTATGTAAAAATAAAATGCATGAACTCAAGCTACATCTCAGCATGGGATAATGTAAAACCATTACATCAGGTTAAGAAGTAATCAAAAGAGTGACATACACCATGCTATGTAAAGATAAAAAGAAACAAAAATGTGGGGAAAAGCCACACAACTTACTTAAAATAAAGAAATAAAAATAATACCCAGAATCTCTGATATTCTGGACGTTTCTATAAAGAAAATATAATATAGAAGTGATAAACTTTCTCTCTCTCTCTCTCTCAGAATTCACTGACTTAGAACTCAGAAACCCTCCTGCCTCTGCCTCTCAAGTGCTGGGATTAAAGGTGCATGTCATCAAGATCAGCAAGAGAATAAGAAAGTGACGAAATCCTTAAAAAGAGACCTAAAGTAACTACTGATCTTAAGATTTGTTCATGTTTTACTTACATGCTCTATTTTAATCTATATGCTTAAGATATTTTATGATGAAATGATGTATTTTTTCAGTATGTTTGATACTATATACTCACATAAACATTGAAATGGAAAAATAACTCCAGATGGAATCTTTCTTAAAAACTTCTTAGCTGGTGAATCTGATGGAAAATTCTTCAAGTAAATTTTAAAATTAGGCGGATACTTCAATATTTTCTTCAGAAAAAATAAAAGAAACTGATAGGCAACAGGATTTAATGACTGCCAGTATAGCAAAATTCATCTGGTAACTGACTGCTTGACATTGGCATAACACACAAGGCAGAGTATAAGGAACTTCCAGTTCCAGAAGGCAAACTATGCTGTCTGGATGAGAATGGCCCTCGTGGCTCATATATTTGAAGGCTTGGTCCCTAGTTGGTGGACTGTTAAGGAAGACTTAGGACACATGGCCTTGCTGGAGGAGGTGTGTCACTGGGGGGTGGACTTTGAAGTTTCAAAAGACTACACCAGGCCCAGTCTTGCTCTGCTCACACACACTGAAATAGATGCTTTTGGCTACAGTCATGCTTGCCTCCCCCCACGCTTCCTGCAGTGATGATCATGGACTCTGAAACCCTCTAAAAGTGTAAGCAAGCCCCGATTAAGCATACTTAAAAGTAAATTGCACTGTGGTACACGCCTGTAACGCCAGGGCTCGGGGAGGCAGAGGCAAGCAGATCTCTGTGAGTTCAAGGTCAGCCTGGTTTACAAAGTGTCCAGGACAGCAAGGCTACACAGAGAAGCCCTGTCTAGAAAAAAAAAAAAAGTTGCCTTCATCATGGTATCTCTTCAAAGCAACAAAACATTGACTAAGACACAAACTGATGGGAAACATTGAAAAACAAAGAGAGAAACAAGGATCATATCAGGTACTTTATGTAAACCTCAGAAGTAAAAGGTTGCTTTTCTCTTGAACTTCTAACAAGCAATCTACAACAAGGTGGGCAGGAGAAGCATGCCCATATTTTCACCAGTTGTAATGACTAATGTATTCAGTGCCCTCCCCAGTTCCCTTCCTTTATTTGCCATTGGGTCTCAGTGTGCACTTTGCTCAGGCAAGTGCTAAACTTCTAGCCTGGATCTGCCTGCTTCAGCCTCCTGAGTAGCTAGTACTGCAAGCATGAGCCACTGAGGTTGGCCTCTTCAGTCTAGAAATAACATCTTCGTAGCCACACTTCTGTATCAGACTGATAAGGGCATTCTCATCCCAATTATACTACTTTTGGCAACATGCATTTTGTTTTTAGTTGCTTCTTTGGCCGCTGGCCACAGATGTGAGGAGCGGCTCTCTAGACCCAGCAATTCACTGGAGAGAATTCCCGCTGTACCTGGGTTGGTGTAGAGCTGGCTCTCCACGGTTTTGCCAATGCACTGGAGCTTGATGGCCTGCAGGGGGTCATCCACATGTGTGATGGTCGGCAGGCTGCCCAGAGTGTCCTGGACCAAGTTGGCCACTTCCCGGACGTCAAAGAGCTTCAGCAGCTCTGAGTACACAGCAGGGAAGGAGCTCAGGAACACAGCCTGAAGACAAGAGGGGACTTAGATGAATTGCTGATACTATAAAAAATGAATGCCACCAAAGTTGAGTAATTGTCACACATATTTTCTTATGTAGAAAGAAACTGAGTATCACCTCTGTCACCTAAAGCTAACGGGCAAAGATTTAAACCAAAACAAAAGTGTGTGATAGATTAGGAAAGGTTTTAGAAATGTGCAAAGGAAGATGACAATTAAAACCAGAGGCCTTCTGGAAAATCACCCACATCAGCAAAACGACGGGCCCTGCCCCAGAAGCAGCCACGCACAGCGCAATTGCATATGCAGCTGAGTCCTGACCTGTGATAGCTGAGATTACATTTCTTTTTGGAGAAATTTTCTGCACTTCGCATTTAAATCTCATTTCTCTTTAAGGAGCCAGATACAGAAGTTCCCTAAGGCACTTGTTTTGTGATTTGGGAGGAAACCCCGGGCAGAACAAGAGAACTTGGCTATATGTAAAAGCCCTTCTTCTAATCAGCAATGTAGCTTCGGGAAGCCTTTTTGTCCTGTAGTCTTTAGTTTCACCACTGTAAAATAACAGCACTAGAACAGTCATTCATATTGCTCCAAGTATGGAAAGATCACAATTTTTAACGTAAGTAAACCTGTTTATTATTTTATAGAAAAAAAATCAATGCTATTATTAAATGCCAAAGAAAGAAAGAAAAACCCTAAAACAAAAACAACTGGGGTAAGACTGAACATCTTAGGCCGGCCTGCTTGAAGCCCAGAGATGGAAGGTAGTGAAGCCATCAACCAGGCTTAATTTGCTCAGTAAGGGAGGGGGCATATCTCTAACCTGCTGAGACTCTTGGGGCAGCTGGTTTTCCAGGATGACCTGTCACTCTGTGCTTGAGCAGCATGCTTTGATGATTCAAACATAACCAAGTTCAAAGCTATTAAGTTTATTATTTATTCAGTGCATGAGTGTGTATAAAAGAACCAAAATTCATTCCTTCCTTCCTTCCTTCCTTCCTTCCTTCCTTCCTTCCTTCCTTCCTTCCTTCCTTCC